TTTAAAATCTTATCAAACACCAGCATTCTGGAGTTCTAGTATTCCATTCAGAATTCTGTTTAAAATATGGTACCCCTGACAATTAATACACAAAGTAGCAATCTAAATACCGGAAGAGAGACTTGTTCTGATAAGAAAATCTTCACAAAACACATCATCTGCTTTCCAGGTAAAGTTAGAATTCCTTCTTGATTTCTGGTTTCAATAAGCAGGGAATACAGGAATTTCTGTCAAAAGTGTACATTCACTTATATATATTTTTATAGAGCTCACAAAAAGCAGTTGTTTATTTCATTAAGAAACACAATATAGCAAATAATATATAAAAACATGTTGGGAATAAGAGTACTCTCATTGAACTGTGAAACAAACTCCTACATTTTATTCTAATAATTGTTTCCTCAACTCTATAACAATGCTTTCAATTTTCCTTTCAAAGTATTTGCTGACAATAAAATGTATTTTAATTTGTTGCCATATTGATTTCCATGAATTATTTACGCAATTTTTACCAGAGTAGGGAGAACAAGTTTTTCCCCAGTGGTTTGTGGTTTTTAAATTGCTGCTATTAAGTCAATGCATCTGTTAGGATGAGGTTTACTGACATATAACCAGAAAACCCAAAGTATGAATGACTTGAACAATATAAAGCTTATGTGTGTGTATATATACACACATATGTACACACATATGCATACATAGAAAAAGAGGGCATGCTAGAATATCTTTTAGTTTCTTTCTATACTTCTAATGGTTCCTCTAATTTTAAAATCTTAAAAATTTCAGAAATCTCCAGACCACTGATAGCCAATACAAATACAGTGCAAGTCACAGATACAAGCCATACATGTAACTTTAAATTTTCTATTAGCCACATTAAAAGATGTAAAATAAGACCGGTGAAATTAACTTTCATTTTATTAACTCAGTACATATACCCAAATATCCAAAATATCATTTCAAAATGTAGTAAATACTATGAAATTACTGAGATATTTTACTTTTTTTTTACACCTAGCCCTCAAAATTAAGCGTGCATTTTATACTCTAAGGACATTTTAAATGCTCACTAGCCACATGTGTGGCTAATGGCTGCCACGCTGGACCACACAGCTGTAGCCAGATCTAGCCTCTAGCCATCTTTCAAAACTCAACTCAAGCATCATCACCTTTATAAAGACTTACCTTGACTGACTTGGTAGATTTCTTTTTTCAGTGTAGCCCACAATACTCTAATTGATTTCTATGATAGAATTTACACATCCCATTGCCCATATTTGTCACCTTCTACAACTCTATAAACTCCAGGGCAGAGACCTTATCTTGATCATTGTATCCTAAGTGCCTAGCTTTACATACGGTAAGTAATCAATAAAAGTTTGTGGGATAAAATGGGTATGTGACCAGATACGAAGTTAGATTGAAAATGAATACACATATTTAAATCCAACAGACTGGTATTTATATGGGGGTGGGTGCCGCAGGAGGGGAAGCCACAGAGAAACAGCTCGGAGCAAAAGAACTATTAATAGATAATCTGTGAGCTAAATCTAGTAACCCAAACTGAATAATTGAGTCAAAACTGGACAATGATATAATTTAATAACTTATGAGTGTATGTTAAACATTAATACCTGATCATGTCCTGATAATAATATAAAGCAAAACTTTTATAAGACTTGTGGCTTTTTCTCAGGAATAAGCTACATTAATAGAGTCCCTCTTTAACAACTAATAACATGCCACAAGTGTGACACATCTAATTATTAAATTTTATTCCCATAAACTATCTTCCCACTAATATAGCTCTAATCTTTTTACATACACAGACAATAAATTAAGGTTCTAAAATATAAAATGCATATCGATCCAAAACTACAACTTCTTTCATTGGAATTCAAATCTCTGTTGTAAATGTCTATATCCTATATTTTCTAAGCAGGTCATCTTCAATTTATTTCAGAGTTTGGCAGCATAATTTTTCAATGTAATTGGGTTCAGCTGTCACACTGAGTGACAGTTTGTCATACAGTAACTAAAATATATTAGTTTATCTTTCAGAGTGCACATCACTAATAAGGTTAAACATTATTTCTGGGATAAAATACAGTCATCCATCGCTTAACAACAGAGATGAATTTTGAGAAATGTGTCATTAGGTGATTGTGTTGTCGTACAAATATCAGAGTGTACTTAGACAAACTTAGATGGTACAGCCCACACACACAGGCTCTATGGTATGGCCTATTGTTCCTAGGCTACAAACCTGCACAGCATGTTACTGTATTGCATAAACAATTATAATGCAACAGTATTTATATATCCAAACATATCTAGACATAGAAAAGGTACAGTAAAAATATAATATAAAAGATAAAACATGGTACACCTATGGAGAGCACTTAACATGAATAGAGCTTCCAAGACTGTAAGTTGTTCTGGGTCAGTCAGTGGTTGCATGGTGAGTGAACGTGAAGGCCTACGACATTACAGTAACCACTACAGACTTTATAAAATGTATATACTTGGGCTACACTTAAATTACAAAACAAGTTTCTTTCTTTAATAATAAAGTAATCTTAGCTTACTATAAACTTTTTTACTTTATAAACATTTTCATTTTTTTAACTTTTTGACTTTTATAATAATTAGCTTAAAACACCAACACATTGTGCGACTATACAAAAATATTTTCTTATTCTATAACCTTTTTCTATGTTCACCTTTTTTAACTTTTTAAACTTTTTCGTTAAAAACTAAGACACAAACACACATTAGCCTAAACCTACGAAGTATCAGGATCTTTAAGAACACTGTCTTCCACTTCCACATCATGTTCCACTGAAAAGTCTTCAGGGGCACCACCACCCATGGAGCTGTCACCTCTTGTAACAATGCTTCTTCTGGATTACCTCCTGCAAGACCTGCCTGAGGATGTTTTACAGTTAACTTTAAGCATGAGTTCATGCTAAAATAATGATAAAAAGTAGGGTATAGCAAATACACAAACCAGTAACATAGCTGCTTATCATCAAGTACTATGTACTGTACATAACTGTATGTGCTATACCTTTATACAACTAGCAGTGCAAAAGGTTTGTTTACATCACCATCACCACAGTGAGTGATGCATTGTGCTGTGACATTATGATAGCTCTGACTTTGCTAGGAGATAAGAATTTTTCAGCTCTATCGTAATCTTATGGGACCACCATTGTATACGTGGTCCACTGTAGACCAAAATGTCATTATGCAACATCAGCAAATCTGACTAAAACCTATTTGCTCAACATACTTCCTATTATACTTATGTAAATGGGTACTTTCAAAGAGAAGAATGCTTCTTCACAGCAACTCAACAGGCTCCTAAAATACGTATGTCAGTCACCCAAAATATGAATGCTTTTTTTTAATCCTAAGGCCTGGATGAGAAACTGTTAATAGTTCAAAACAATTTTATGACCATTCAACGAATCTTGAACTGCTATGTAGTATTAATGAGGCCAAGGAAATGCGATTACACTGCCATTTGAATCTATACTTAGTATAGTCCAGTATTAAAAGCCTGTACCTATAATCCCACCCAATTAGAGCTTCCTGTCTGCCAGGTGGATGACTTTAACAACAATAGCAATGAAACAAGCATGTGAACAGATTAACACCTAGAAAAAAAAAAACATAAATTCACACCTTAGAATATTTTATTCCTAGAAATAGATACTCTAAAGAAACTTACAATATGAAAAGTCACATTTTGGTAAAAAATGAATCACTGAACCTCAACTCTTAAAAAACACAACAAGTAAACATAGTACTTCATAATTAGTTACTGTATTATTACATATAATACTATTTGACCTGGCTTCTAAGGTATTTTTTCTGTAACATACTTTTAATTTTTAATGCAGATAAACAGAAAACTGTAACTCAATTTGCAGAAAGGACAAAACAATTCCTTTAGGCGGTGGTGAGGGGACAGGAAACCCTTACAGAAGAAGAAAGGTTTGACAAAATAGTACTGCTACCAAAACAGTTAAGGAAAAATTCGTATTCATGGTGATCCTGTTCTTAGAATACTGAACTGTGTCACACCAACTTGAATTTTCTTCTAAGTTTTAGCAAGCCATTTAACTCTACTTTGATGAACTATTGCAATTTTTGGAAATCAAATTTTATGAGACCGCAAAAATTAGAAATAAGTTCCAAACACCTTCAGTTTGCTTACTCTCATCCCTTCCTCCACCTTTTCTCTTAATCATTTTTCACAAATGCCTGGCGTTCTAGCTCCCACTCTCAAGGGCAGGCAGTAAAAACCAAAAGCACCTCCAAACCCCCCAGGGCCTAAACTTACACCTATGCATTTAAACTATAACTCTATTCATGGTGTCAAATATCCTATTATTACTATTTCTTCAAATCCTGATTCGATTTTTTAAAAATTAATGTGTATCAAATGTTTACTATATATCAGGCCACAATATCTGACTTTACCAGGCATTAGGGAGTCTCCTCCCATTGTCACTTCCCCCATCACAACTTAATCTGAATCTGTCATCCCCTTCTTACTGATAAATAACTTCTAATTTCATTATAAATAAAAAATAATCATTTTTACTCCAAAGATAAAGGACAAGTGACTATTATGATAGTTCATAAAATCATGTAAAATATGAATTTGTCTCCCAAAGTCCCCAATATAAGACCGAATAACTCACTTACCTCAGTTAGAACAATGTTATCTAAAAGAAATATAATGTGAGGTACAAATATAATTTTAAAAATTTTAGTAGTCACACTAAAAGAAATATAAACAGGTAAAATGAATTTTAATAAGTATGTTTTATGTATAATAAAATAACCTAAAGGCAATATATCTACAACATGTAACTAATATAAAACATTATTAATAAGATATTTTTTTAATTAAGTCTTTGAAATTCAGTGTGTATTTTACACTTAAAGCACATTCAATTCTCAAAAGCCACATTACAAGTGCTCACCAGCCACAAGAAATGGGCTTCCACACTGGATAGTAAAGCTGTACACAAACAAGAAGCAGCAGAACTTTAGAACAAGAAGCAAACAAGGAGACAAATACAGCTATAAATAGACTCAAAAGAGGCATAAATATATCCATGACTGAAAAGCCTTGAGTACGTTATTTAAGCTAGGACTATAATAAAAGTAATAAATTGTATGTTGTTTCTTAAAAATACAAAAAGAAAGGGGTTGTAGCAAAAACACATACCTTCAGAAGTTGTATGTTATATAAAATAAGTTCAAACAGATATTGGTCATGCTCTCTAGAAGCCTATAAGTAGACAGGTAGGATGAAAGATAAAAGTTTTTGCTCCATCTTTTTTTATTTTAAAATTCAGATTGTTTAATGTAACATGTTTACAATCTCTTAAGAAACAAATGAATTACAAGTATTTTGCTTTAGATAAAGGAGGAGTTGGGATAAAATCACTGCTGAATGTTTAGTAAGGAAGTGAAATCATCAGGCTTAATCATACATAACAAATTAGTTTTGTTGTCCATACATTGATTTTTAGGTGACACAACAAAAATTATACATGTGTGAGTGTTCCTGTTCTTTCTTTTCCTGTGCCAGAATTCTGGCTTGGCCTGCTGAGTCTCTTCACCTCCCTCATCTTTTAAGATTGTCTTCCCAGTTTAATTATTTTAAGCTTTGTAATAAAGATGAAGGAGATGGAATACTATGAAAATACAGGGTTAGGGCTGGGTGTGGAGCATTACAGAGAAGTTTCAAGAGAAGAGAATCAAGAGTAGCTCTACTACAGGAACAAAACTAATGCAACGGAAAAAATAAATTTTTATATAAATATCACTATGGTGGGTATATATATACACACGTGTATGTATGTGTGTGTATGTGTGTATATATTCTACATGATATTAAATAGAACTAAATAATCTGAGTCCTATAGAAATTACTTTTGACCAGACGCGGTAGCTCACACCTGTAATCCTAGCACTTTGGGAGGCCGAGGCAGGCAGATCACCTGAGGTTGGGAGAGGAGAAATGGAAGTTACTATTTAATGGGCACAGGATTTCAGTTTGAGAAGATGAAAAAATTCTGGAGGTGGATGATGATGATGGCTGAACAACAATGTGAAATCACTTAATGCCACTAAACTGTACACTTTAAAATGGTTAAAATAAACAGTGACTATGATTAACAATATTGCACTCTGTATTTCAAAATAACTAGAAGATTTTGAGTGTTCTTACCACAAAGAAATGATAAATAGATGAGGTGATGGACATGCTAAGTACCCCAATTTGATTTTTACAATGTATACATCTATCAAAACATCACATTAGACCCCAGAAATACACACAATTATGTGTCAATTGAAAACAAAATTTTAAAAAGGGTTGAAATAAATTATATGCTACATATATTTTACTTCTAGAAAAAATAAAGATATCAAGACTTTGAACAAATCAGGCCAGCCTGGGAATGAACCTAGAATAATGACCAAAAAAAAGAAAAAAAAAACCACTTGTACTGATTTTCAAAGTCATAGTTTTTTGCTCTCATAAAAAATTGATTATTTGTATATAAATTTCATTTTTTATAAATGCAAAACACTAATATCCTTAAAAAGTTCATCATTCATCTCAAAGACTACTGAAAATAAAAGTAAATGCCAAACGTTAATGTTAATTTTCATGTATTCATCTTTACCTTCTCTTCAGAAGTATAATATACTCAAAGTCCTCTTTTTTCTTTGCCAGTGAGCCATTCCTTTATTTTTGTACTTCATTCATTTAATATTTATTAAATGCCTACTATGTGCACAGTTTATAATTTTTCTGCAATGGGTATAACAATATATCTTTCAACAGTCAAATAAAAGGGAGAGTTGATAGAGAAAATACATACCCCTTATGACGGTTAATTTTAGGTGTCAACTTAACTGGGCCAGAGGGTGCCCATATATTTCATTAAATATGATTCTGAATGTCTGTGAGGGTGTTTTTGAATGAGATTAGCATTTGCATTAGTATACTGTATAAACAGATTGCTCTCCTTAATGTGGATGGGCCTCATTCAACCAACCAGTCAAAGGCCTGAACAGAACCAAAGGCTGACCCTCCTTCAAGGAGGGGTAATTAACTCCTCCTAACTGAAGGATATGAATGGTCAACTGTACTACTAGAATTAAGGGAAAAAAAATGATTTCTACAAAAAGAAAGTTGATTTAATTTACTGTAGTCTATAGTTAGCATTAAGGCAAAAAACCATGAAAACACTCCCTCGTGGCTCTTGTCATTGTGCAAGCTATCCCTCTGTGGAAAGTTGTTCTTTTCCTGCTCTTTTAATCCTGGAACAGTTACTTACTTGTTCTTCAAGACTCCTTTCACAAGACATCTACCCATGAAGCCTTCCCAACTCCTCCAAGCAACGTTAGTAACTCCATTAATGTTTCCACAGCACTTTGTTTATATCTCTACAATATTACTTTTATCCATTATAATTTATCTGTTTATTCTTCCATTCTCTGTTCTGAATTTCAAGTTATTTGAAGGTATGAATTATGTTACTCTTTTATGTACCCAAGAAGTATCCTGACTCTAGCAATAGCACACTAGATTAGGATTATTCAGTAATTTATTTTACTATCATTTTAAGTATTCTGAACCTGCTGGAGTAAAAACAGAAGTTTCCACGTGAAAGTTATAAAGCAGAAAATGAGCTGAAGCAAAGTGGAACTACAGTCATCAAGATAAAATGAAAAAAGAAGTGGACTAAGGGTCAGGGAATCTGGGTGTTAATCCTAGTCTGTGAAGGACCAAAGGATCTGAACCTACTGGTTTTCAGTTTCCTCATCTATGCAAGTGAAAGAGTCAGGCCATTGACCAGATCTGAAAACACTGTGACTCTTTACCAGTCTCAAATATCAAGAAAACTTTTCTAAAAACATAAACCATGTATTTACAGTGAGCCTCTGAATCCATGAGTTCTATATCCATAGATTCAACCAATAGGGGATCAAAAATATTTCTTTTAAAAAATGGATGGTTGCATCTATATTGAACATGTACATTTTTTCTCGTCACTTCCCTAAACAATGCAACATAACAACTATTTACCTAGCATTTATACTGCACTGGGTATTATAAGTAATCTGGAGATGATTTGAAGTACATGGGAAGATATTCGTTGGTTATATGCAAATACTATGGCATTTTATACAAAGGACTTGAGCATCCATGGATTTTGGTATCCTGAAGGGTCCTAGAACCAATCTTCCATGGATACCAAGGGACAACTGTATACATGTAGTTATACCAATCATCCGCCACTCAAAAATAAAAATAAAAACTGAAATGTTAAAGCAAGAGGCAAATGTAGAAATTAAAAGAATCAGAAAAGCCTGCAAAGCTAAGATTTGTACACAAGCTGGACATGACTGAAACAAGCAAAGTAACTATATCAAAGCTGAGAGAAAATGTTCAGAGTAAAGTTCACTAAACACCACAAAATGCCAGAGACTATGTTAAATACTCTTACTAGCAAGGTAAGATAATGTTCTGATCCTCAAAAGATTCAGAGCCTCTAGTGCCGTCTGATAAGTAAACGAACACAGTTGTCCCCTGATATCTCTGGGGGATTGGTTCCAGGGCCCCCTGTGGTTACCAAAATCCATAGATCCCCAAGTTCCTGGTACACAATGGTGTAGTATTTGCACATAACCTACACACACCCTCCTGTGTACTTTAACTCCTCTCCAGACAACACCTAATACAATGTAAATGCTATGTAAATACTTGTTATACTATATTGTTTAGGGCAGTGATCTCCAACCTTTTTGGCACCAGGGGCCAGTTTCATGGGAGACAATTTTTCCATGAATGGGGGCTTCAGGGGGGATGGTTTTGGGATTAAACTGTTCCACCGCAGATCATCAGGCATTAGATTCTCATAAGCAGCACACAACCTAGATCCCTTGCTTGTGCAGTTCACAATAGGGTTTGCTCTCCTATGAGAATCTAATGGCACCACTGATCTGACAGGAGGCAGAGCTCAGGTGGTAATGCTCACTCACCCGTGGCTCACCTTCTGCTGTGTGGCTCTGTTCCTAATAGGTCCATGGCCCAGGGGTTGGGAATCCCTGGTTTAGAGAATAATGACAAGATTTAAGTCTATACATGTTTAGTACAGACGCAACCATCCATTCTTTTTCTCACATATTTTCTATCCAAAGTTAACTGAATTCACGGATATGGAACCCATGGATATAGAGGGGCAACTGTAATTTAAAATAGAATGTGTGAGTACTAAATCTGAAATATGTATAAAATTCTATGGGAAAGCATGGGTTGGGAGGAATAACTTTCAGGGGAATATCAGGGAAGATGTCACTTAAATAGGGTAAGAACTAAATCTTGAAAGACGAGCAGTTCTTTAGACAAAAAATAGAAGAATATGACTTGAGAAATGTAACAATTATCAAGTAACAGTCAATATATTATAATAAAAGAAACATTATTGTACTGATAACTCATATCTCCTAAGGTTAAAAAAATTTAAATACTTAATTTAAATTCAAGGACTTTGAAAGGGTGATCAAGTTATAAAGAATTAGTATAAATTAAGTGAAATAATTCTATGACATTTTATAATCAAGTATCGTTTATATATTCAGAGTTGAAAACACTTCTCTTTTAAGATAGCAGACTTGCTTAGCTTAGAAAGACAATGACTTTATTTCACTGACTATTTCACATTCTAGGTCAAGATGATTAAATAAGACAACACAGGTCATACACTTAACACAGTGCCTGACATGTAAAGATTCTACCACCGTCATCATCATCATTATCAAAGGTAATGGTGTATTTAAATAGCAAAACTTGGAAATGGAAGATCCAGCTTTGGATCTCATTCTGCTACTAAGTAATTTTGCAACCTTGGACAAGTTCCTTAACCTCAGTTATAGTTTAGTTATTATACTAAAGTAAATCCCCATTTACTTCAAAGGAGTTGGAAGAGGACATTAAAAACATAAGATATGAACCCAAACCCAATCTATAAATGCCAATTCCCTTCCCAAATGTAAAAAAATTAAATGACATAAAAATATGTATATACCATCTTTTAATCTGCTGCAAGTTATTTCTCTCAGAAAATGAAAGTATTTGCTAAAGAGAAATATATGTAGATATTTTTACTCCCATAAAATTTGCTATTAATCAATGTTTGCTCTACCTTCATAAACTGAAAGAGAAATCACAATTACTAGAAATTATTATATCCAGATGCTAGTATATTCCTTCTATAACTCATTTATTTTATTCAAGTAAACATTGTATATATAGTGGCTCAAATAATTACCTCCAATATATAACAAGAAAATCACGAATTTACTTTTTCTGTAAATATATTAATGCATACTATTATTCTGGTTCAGAGTAATCTCTCAAGTATCCACATTATGCCCAGTGAAAACATATAAAATTCAAAGCCATTTACCATATAACCAATTATTTCCCAAAACTCAAATATTAATAACTCATGGTATAGTTCTTGCTAAGTCACTTTTGTGTATAAATCCATTAAATTGACCTGCATTCATTTTTAATTTCCTCTGAATAGCTTGTCCTAAGTTGTCTATGGGACACATTCCCTACCAGAGAAGCAACTCACTGAGGCTGGCTGCTCCCTCCCCTTCCAACATCATCTCTTCATACATGCTGTCTTTGGGATAATTTCTAAGTACTAGTTACATTTGCTTAGCAATGGGAAAGAACTCTAGCTTTGGAACCTGAAGGTCTAAGTCCCAGCTGTGCTACTTAGTACCTAGATAACCTTGTCTAATTACTTCACATTTTCTACAGCCTCAGTTTCTACATATGTAAAGCAGGAATGGTATGGTATCTACAAAAGGAAATTATTCTAAGGATTAGAGAACACTGCTGTGTTCAATTCCACAAGTGTACTGTAAACAGTTAAGAGCTATTAAACTATAGGCTAATATTATTTTCTAAAATAGTCATAAAATAGTTTGTAATCCTTTAACTTGCCCCTTAGACTTGTTACCCAAGTAGTCTTCTAAATATTTAAGCAAATACTCCCAGAGGGAGCTACTATTTGCCTTGGATCACCATTCATGTCTTACTACATCTACATGTGAAAGTCAGCCACATGAGAGAAGAGATGGAAGAGACTCCACACAAAGGAACTCCTGTTACCTCTTGTCTCTTCCTTCCCCAGTTTCTCACCCTCCTCAAAGAAAGAAATCAGAAAAACTACCTCAGGCACTGATAAAGACTATGCAGGATTCAAGACAACAGATCTCCTGTGCTTCAGCAGGACATCATGATCTGTGAGTACCTAAGAGTCCCCTCCCTGACAGGTCACCAGGCTCAGGTACTCCAAGCTAAAATAGGACAGATCAGTTTTAGTAAGTCATTACTTCTTTCTATAGTCAGGTGATTCTCTGGACCAAGATAAGAATTAAAACAATAGTAAGTACTAAGTAAAGTTTACTATATACCAAGCACTTTACATATATTAACCCATTTAATCTGTACAACCTGCATATCTATCTTACAAGGCTGAAATCCCATTTTACACATGAAGAAACTGAGGCACAGTAAGTTTTAATAGCTGTTATTCCATAACATGGACGTAAAAATAATACATTTAATGTTTTCCTATTGTTGAACATTTAAGTTGTTGCCACATATGTTACATCATAAAAATACACTAAATTTTCATACCTGTCCACAGGTATTTTTTCCTTAGCCTAAAGAACTAAGAATACATTATAGAAACCTCTTTAAAATCCTTGATACATATTGGTAAAACGTCACTCAGAATAGCTGTAACAGTTTACGAGCCCAACAAGAACATTTAAGATTATTTTAACTTGCCCTAGCAAACAATCATCACTTCTTTTTTTGTGAGACAGGGTCTTACTCCATCACCCAGGCTGGAATGCAGCAGCATGATCACAGCTCACTGCAGACTCAACCTCCAGGGTTGTTGCCTAGGTTGGTCTTGAACTCCCTGGCTCAAGCAATCCTCCCACCTCAGACTCCCAAAGTGCTGGAATTACAGGCATGAGCCACCATAACCAGCTGGTCATTTCTTTTTAATCACTTCTTTTTCATGTTATCTGTTACCTTATGTTCTTATTTAGCCAAAGTGAATATTTTTCTATTAATTAACCATGTATATTTCTTCTTTCTTGAAACATATCAAGTCCTTTGACAAGTAAACATTTTTCTTATGATTCATCCTGTAATATTTAATACCTGAAGTATTTATTTTTTTTAAATTTAGAATATTAGGAATCTTTGGGGCACAAATGGATAGAAAACCAACTCAAACTGGCTTAAAGCAAAGTGATGCACTGAAATATCTGGAGATAGAACGGACTTGAGGGGATCCAAAGCTGCCATCAGCAATGTATCGCTTGGTTTTAGGTGCCTCTTTAACGGCTCTGTTTTCAAGTAGAATCTGCCTTCATGGTGCAGATGGTAGTCAATTCTAGACTTACATTCTAACATTTTCAGCAACCCCAGCGAAAGCACCTTTTTCCTTCTTCAGAAAGAAATTATCAAACTGTCTCAGAAGTACAGCTAAATTTTATAACCAATACCAGTTACTGTTGGGCCAGACGTCAGTTTCTGTGTCTGGTACAGAAAAGCAGGATAAAGTCCAATGATGCCCCAGACCATAAAAATCAAGAATGACTCCCTAAAAGAATATCAAAAAATCGAGAATGTTAGCAACAGAAAGAATGGATGCTAGGCAGCCAAAACCGGCAGAAATCTGTAACATTATAGTCCTTAGCTACCCACCCATCTCAGACACTCATTTCTTTTCATACATATAACTACTTACATATCCATGTTTAACATGGCTATCTTAGACACAATAGAAAGTGTACTTACCACCTCACCAGGGGATGAAAAAAGACAAAGTCGAATTACTGCATCTAACCTCAAGTCTGAAATTTTTGTGTTATGATAATATTATTCTTGGTGATACCTCAAACCTGACCAATTATATAGCTATGTAATAAATTTAACAATACCCTCTAATTAATATACAATGGTAAAAGAACATTAAGTATCAATAACTGCATTTAGAAGAGTGGAGAAGGTTAAAGAAACACCAAGATAACTAATTCAAAGCATAAACCATATATCATTGGTCAGAGTAACAAGAATTCCCTGTCCTTGCTAACGGAATTCCTTGGGTCGGCCAATATGAATACATTCACTACCACTATCTCAGAAGATCTCACTTCTTATCCTCCATAATGCAGATTTTCCTTCTAGCAGCTATACTGCTGGAGCTTAAAAGTGCCTCAGAAGTAAAAGAATACAGGCCTTTGTTTACCAGGCTTGAGGTTTCTCTCCAAGTATGGCTTCCCTAAAACTTTGATAAGTTTTTCGTCAATTTACTTAAGTCAAAGGACTTGAATTCGCAACCAAAACATGCGATCCTGTCAGGATCTTGTCAGCTTCTAAGTTTCAGTCTCATAGCAATAGGCCTTCCCAGTACTCTTATCCCCTTAACCCTCAGCTTAACGATCTTCCTTGAAGCAATGTGAAACAATAAACTGGGTGAGGAGGCACAGCTATTCTATCATTTGCTCCCTGGTTGTATCGTATTTTAAAGCTCTTCACAACTGGATTACTGTTACTTTGGTCAGAAGGCTGGCGTATGCTGCATGAGAGGCTTGGGAGAAGCTTATCAGACAGAACTTTATCTGGTTCTAATTTAAACTCTTGGCTTTCCTCTTACCAACTTTAGCACGGGGTAAAAACTTAGGGCTTTATGACCTACAAAGCT